AAATGCAAAGCTATATGATACAAAGGAGAGGCTAAAATAATGGTCCAACTAACTGGAAAGCCTATGATGTTGCTTATATGGTTACCCATGGTCTTGCATCTTAAGGGTCGGAATACCAGAGTTGTCTTCTTGTAGATTCAGAGCCAGTCTTAAGGGAAGTAAGCAACTGCACTGAGAGGCAGAGAGAGGCCAGGAACCCTCCGGATTTAGAATTAAGCCGTTATTAATCTGGAATTGGACCCCAGAGGGTATGCTGGGGACAGAAGGTTGGCCAGTCAATAGTAATTGACCTGAAGTCTGAAGTTGCAGCAGTGTTTTTCTGGCTTGGCAGACACTACATTCACCATGCCAGGTTCCTGGTGCCCAAATCAAACTGGAATTTCCCAAAGATAAAAGCAGCAGGAATCTTTACCCACTCAAATGTTCTTTTCCTAGAACAACTTTTTTGGTTTTTCTGCATTATCACTCTTTTATTTACACAGTATATATATAGATAAATGAACAAAATAGTCTTACAATAGTGAGATTGTGAATGATTTTCATTCACTTTGGTTTTTTTTTTTTTTTTGATAGAGAACGTACTTTTAGGTGAAAAGCAGGAAAGAGAAGGGAAGAAGCCAAGCAGAGTTTCAGCCTCAACCTGACCCCACAGGGGAGTGTGGGAATGAAAATTATACCTTAGATTTGTTGGAACTCCAAGGCAAAGGAGCTGGGCTTCCATTTTCCCACACCAGTCAGTCATTGAATAAGGGCTGTGATTGAGGACATAAAACCCCAGGAACTTCTGTTTCACAGTAGCCACCCCAGTGGCCTAAGAGTGGTTCTCCACAGAAAATCACAGAGATAGGTGATTAGAAACATAACATGTGGGAGGTCAAAAAAGGCACACTGAAAAAGTAAAGGAAATTCAAGAGAATCTGAGTGGAACACTGACAGATATGCTACCACACTAAGGATTCTTTTACGGGCATGGAAAAGGCTAATCATGTCTGCAGATAAGCAGTTTATTTTACATGTGTTAATGTTATAAAATGGGGAGGGCATAGGATTAGTATTTAGTAAGTTTTAGTTCTGGCTCGAATTCATACAAACTTTGTGATCTTGCTTAAATCACTCAAACTGCCTGGGCCCCAGTTTCTACAGCTAGAAAGTGGGTTTATTATTTTCAGCTTTTTAATACAAATTGATATTTTCTGCTGGCTTACTGGCATTTGATATGTGTTTTAAAATGTCACATAGGATAGTAGATTTTTCAATTTTGTCTTGTAATTTTGTCAGCATTTTTCTTTTATATTTCAAGCCATAATCTTAGCCATTCAAATACAGAACTGTTCTTTTTATCACTACATAATGTCTCTTTTAATGCTTTTTGGCCTGGATCCAATATCATCTGACATTCATACTGCCATATCAGCTTTCTTTTGGTTGCCGATTGCATTACTTGCTTTATTCCATTTCTTTATTTTCAACCTTTCTGGACCATTATGTTTTAGGTGTGTTTATCATAAACCACACATGTTTGGATTTTAAAATATCTGGCCTGATAATCTAGTTATTATAAGAAAGTTGATTCCTTTACATTTATTTTGATCACTGCTCTATTTGGACTTAGTTATTATATATTTTATGTTTACCATGTTCTTTTTTTGCTTATTTTTTCTCATTTTTTTCTTTCTGTTTGACTGATAGTTTTAACATTTTGAAGTAAAAAAATTCTGAACAGAATTTAAGTTATTTAGTATCTCTGCTCTTCTCCCAAATAACCCAAGAACTAAGTATGCTTTTATTAGTCACATAATAGATTTCCCATCTATATCTTTCTTGGTGTTATTTGAATTCTATCTAGTGATGTGAAAAATACTATTCTTTTTAAGAGTTAATAGTTAATTAAATTTATCATCATACTTTACAAAATTATGTACTATTGTTTTTGCATTCCACTCCATCCTTCCATATCTCTTAGGGTGTTTTTCTTCTGCCTGAAATACATTCTTCAGTAGTTATTTTAGTGAAGACTAGTGGGTAATAGTCTCTATTACTATTTTCATTTCATCTGGAGTAAACTCAGTTGTACTAGTTCATTTTGTTGCTGTATTGCTTAGCATTACTTCCTTATGTGTTTTGGAATTTTATTATTAAATGGAGTTCTCTCTCTCTCTTTTGAAATTTTATTATTGGAGTTTCTCTCTCTCTCTCCCCCCTCCCTCTCTTTCTGTCTTTTTCTCTCTCCCCCATTTTATGTCTCACAGTCTTGCAGATTTATATTTAATCTCTTCTTCCACCATTTCTCAATAACATAGTAAAAAAACAGGTCTTATATTGGTAGCTCAGACCTCCCAAACTGCACTGAAATTGAGGTTTTTGCACATTCAGCTACCAAGTCAGCAGAATTAAGCTGAAGTTCAGGACAAAAGACTATTTTCTATGGCTTTCCTGCTATCTAGTTTTATAGTTCAGACGGTGGTTTTAAGAGCTTATTTCAGCCTCCTTTAATGCATGAGAGAACCTCGAACTTGTTACTAGTTCCAAGCAATGAGTGTGAAGAGTGAATCTCTTACTTCTCATGGGATACTTTTAGCTTTGCTATCCAACAGGACCCCAGATGTCTCCATTTGCTTCTGGATGTAGAGTCAAGTGAATCTGCAAACTCAATCCCAGTTATTCCTCTGGGTTTCTTCCATTTCTGGGTCTCAGGGATATTTATCTCTATTTCAACTTGGTTATATTGTCTTAAATTCTTTTCTGGTGTCATATTTTGTGTCAATCAGATACTGCTGAATAAAAAGCACTACTAAAATGGAGTAGTTTAGTACAGCAGTTGTTAATTCTCACTGATTTTTCCTGGATGTGGCTAGTCTGGGATGGGCGCAGCTGGGCAACTGTGCTTTATTCTGCAGGAAGTGAAATGGGGGAATAGAAACCATGGCTTCTTTATCTCCCTGCTCTCCAGTCTTCTGTGGGTGTCCCTGATAGCTAAGCCTGATTATAGCCAAAGGACTAGGGTGACATTGATGCGTACATAAAGCCAGTCTCCTGGGCACAGAGTTGAGTAGGGAAGGTGACAGAAAGCAACAGGAACACCCAGTGCATGACCCAAGGGGAACCATGGGAAGTTGGAAAATCACTGGGAGACATGGACCACGTGCAAACACGAAATGAGGAAGACTCACAAGTTTAAAAAAAGATATGATCACCCAAGACATGTTTTGGAAACCTGCTTTCTTGGGCTTTTGGAAATTGGCAACTCTTGTCTCAGATGGAGGATACAGAGGCAGAGGGGGCCACGTTTCTCCAAATGGGAAAATCCTGTCACCTTTGGAAGCTTGTCTTGCACTCAAAGAAATATAGCACCCTATGGACTTTTACGACTTAGATCTCATTAATCTAGGGTTTTATACTAAAAATAATAAAAAGAGAGCAAATTTTTCCATTCAATGGATGCTGCAGTGACAGTCAGAAAAGCTATTGAGTTCCAGCTCAGCTGCTGTTAAGCTCTGTGACCTTGGACAATTCACAGGGCTTCCTTAGCCTCCAGTTTCCTGCTGTAGAAAGTGAGGAGACTGAATCAAATGCCTTCACATCTCTGAAAGCTCAGATACCTACAGCTTATAGGTGAGATAAATGGCTTGCATTTAAACATTTTTATTCAAAAATATTTAACAGTAACTACCCATGTTCTGGTTTCTTTGTTGAATCACCTGAACTAACAGGAATCTTAAAAAAATAACTTTATATTTTCCATCTTCTCTACTGTAATTCTTAAGTCCATTATTTTCTTCTATGCCCCCAAGCAAAGAAAAGCCATCTCTGACAGCTGCTCGAGGCAAAACATGGATTGATAATGGTAAAAGGAGAAGATAGCAGTCTGCAAATTTAGATTTTCAGCATGTGTACTGATTTCCTGGCCTCATAGACATCCCAGTAATTATCTAGAATTATACATAATTTACCTACTTTCATTTTCTAAGAAATTGTCAGTTTTGAGGTCAGAGTTGGACAATTTATTGGTTTGTCCTGTAGAAATAAATTGGGGGCATTTGGAGCTGGAGTCTTTAATGTGTGCAGTTGAGGCGGTAGATGTGAAGCTGCCTCCTATTTATAGCTGGGTAAGCTTAATCATTGCTTTTCAATCTAAATAGAAAGGCTCTGTTTACTGCTGCTTTTAATTGTAGCAAGCTGGTGAAAGAGCATGCAGGGCCTCTTCAGTAAAGTCAACTCAATAAAAGCATTTTGTCAATAAATTATTATTGTTATCATGAAAACCATGCACAGCATTCAAATATAAAGCAAGAACTAGCTCAGATTCTCTCTTTGGTGGAAGAATCTTTGATGAACCCAGTGTATGGCTTTTAAATGTTCTTAACTCATTTTTTTCTCATTTTCTTAGAATATTAGAGCTGATAAAGGCATGTGGTTCTCCTCAGTCTTCAGATTTAATTTTAAGGATGAAAATCTGAGTTCCTTGCTCAGGTCTGAGACATGTTTATGTCCAAAGTCATTAAAAGGAAAGATTATTTGGGAAATCAGAATGTCAACCCCTTTTCTGTATGTGCCTGTTTGAAAGAGAATTATGAGGCACACCAATTTAGAGAGTTCCCTCTTTGATAAAGATCTTCTCAAATGTTTTTGGTCAAATGTGCCATTTTATTCTCAAATCCCTGGAAGTTGGGTAGCATAGCATAAAGATCCAATTCTGACCTGGAACAAAAGCACAAGCCCAAATGTTTGAAAGAAAGCTCCAGAAGGAGAAGGTTCGTGTGGGAAGGTAGGTATGAATGGAGGATTATATTCTCCCAAAATGACCACAGCAGTAAATTCAGTTCCACATATCCTTCCAGACCTTGACACGCTCCACAAAAAGGAGGAGTCTGTTTCCCCATTTCTTGAACGTTATAGTCTTTATAAATGCTCAAATGAGTAGAATGCAACAGAAATAATTTTGAGTGACTTTTGAAGTTAGGTCATAAAAAGCACTACAACTTCCACTTTTTGTGTTTCAGGATGCTCACCCTTGGAGACCAGCAACAATGTGTGAGGAAGCCCAGGCCATGTGGACAGGCCCCACGTAGGTGTCCAGTTAAGGTCCCAGCTGACAGCTGGCACTGACATGTGAGTGAGACTCTGAACTGTCCCAGCTGATGACAGGTACAGTTTGAGTGAGCTATCCCTGTTGGGCCTGTTTCAAAACTGCGGATTTCATGAAGAAATTAAGTGTTTTTGATTTAAGCCAGTAAATTTTGACATAATATGTTACACAGCCATAGTAACTGGAAGAGTGCGAAACAAATAGTACTCTCTTGTGTCTCATTTCTTTATAACGTATATCTTCCCCCTTACCTGCATAGGAATTCTTTCTCCTTTTCTCTCAGACAGTTCTGCTGTTATTCCTACTAGTGATGCTATTACTACTATTGTTTCTGTATCTATTACTACTACTGAAAATAAGGTAATTTTATAACTATTATTGAGTATGCATCTACTGTATAGATTTACATCCTTAACATATATTAATTCTTCTAATCCTTATATCCAAAGCATGGAGCTGTATCACCCCCAAGAGTCATATGTTGAAGTCCTCACCTTCAGTATTCACAATGTGACCTATTTGGAGATACAGTCTTTAAAGATGTGAAATGAAGCCATTAAAGTAGTCCTTAATTTAATATGACTGATGTCCTTATAGGAAGAAAAGATAGGACACAGACACACACAGAAGAAAGACGAGGTGAAGATACAGAGAAAAGATGGCCATCTACAAGCCAAGGAAAAACGTCCTCAGAATAAACCAACTCTGTCGACACCTTGATCTTGGCCTTCTAGCTTTCCAAATTTGAGAACATAAATTTCTGTTGCTTAAGCCACTCAGTTTGTGGTACTTTGTTATGGGAAAACTAATAAAACTTTATGAGTAAAATACCATTAAACTTTAGAGAAGGAATTCACAAATGAGAAAGCTGACACACTGTAAAGGTAAATACCTTGCCCGAGGTTATACAGTTTTATTTCCTTTCAGAAATAAGTAAACAAGGGCCCAATAATTTGACTTCCATGAAGTTTCACAGTCAGTTTAAAGAAAGATTCAAAACTAAAAAAGTCAAACCCTACCCTATATTTGCACTATTTAGTATCAGAGTCCTCAGAAATATGCCACTTAATCCTGTTAGCTAAGTTAAGACAAGATGGCAGCATTATTGAGCACCAACTACTTACATAGCACTTAACAACCTCAGTTTTTCTTCCTGACAGAACCTCAATTTTGTTCAAGTGCCCTGTCTTCACGTAGCCCCTGTGACTCCAAGGAATCCCCCCAGCTTCAGGAGTAAATCTGATTGGGCTAAGGGTTAGCTCATACCCCCTTGTCTGTGATTGGTTTATAAGAAATCCTGTGACCCAGTTCTGGCCAGTGATATGTGACGGGAGGTTCATGGGAGACTTCTGGAAAAGTTCTATCTTGCTCTAAAGAACAAGCTATTCTACCACGCTCTCCCCAGATCTGAATGAAAGTGGATGACTCCACAATTGTCCTCTGGTGGGAACCAGCCTTTAAAATGAAGCCACCATGTGTATAGAAAAGACAAGAAATGTAGACAACCTAAGCCCTAGGTAATAACATTGGGGTGCTGAATCAACCAGCTCTTATTAAACTTCCTATTAAATGAGCTTATAAATTTCCCTCATTTTAAAAAGCCAGTTTAAAGTATATTGAAATCACTGAAAGTTAATGGCCGAAAAAGCATCCCAGTAGAGTTGACCCTTGAACAAGGTTGGGGTTAGGAGTGTAGGCATCCTGTGCAGCTAAAAATTCACGTCTAACTTTTGACTCCCTCCCAAACCTAACTAGTAGTGGCCAGCTGTGTACCAGGAACCTTCCTGATAACATAAACAGTCAATCAACACATATTTTATATGTTTTATATATCTATATCTATCTATCTATATATATCTTATACACTGTATTCTTACAACAAAATAACCTTGAGAAAAGAAAATGTTATTAAGAGAATCATTACTATTCATTAAGTAGAAGTGACTCATCATAAAGGTCTTCATCTTCTTCTCACTTTGAGCAGGATGAGGAGGAAAAGGAGGGACTGGTCTTGCTGTCTCAAGGTGGCAGAGGCAGAAAAGGTAGAGGAGGTGGAAAGGGAGGCAAAAGAGACAGGTGCTTTTATTGAAAAAAGTTCACATACATGTGGACCCACACAGTTCAAACCCATGTTGTTCAAGGGTCAACTGTAGTTCCAAATTTCTCTGATGGAACAAATGATCTCTACCCTCTGTCCCCATAGCAGCAATAGCCAAGATTGGCTTTATCCCTCCTAGCTCTGTCTCCTTATGATATAAATGCCCAAATGGTTTCATTCTCACATTCAGGATCGTAGGATGAACTCTGTGCAATCTCCCCAAACCAGTCCTGAAGTAGAAAATGTTGGAACCTCAGCATTAAGGTGGTCTATTCTGTACAACACAGCTTAAATGAGGTTATTTCACAGCAACCCTTGCAGCAGGAAGAGAACATGTGGCATATTCCTGGCTTCTTGAGTGAGTCATAGGGCTGGAAAGAGATCAGGCTTTTCTCTAGTCTGGATTGTTCTTTGCTTATATTTCTGAGATTTGCTGACTGATGATGAAAGTGAAATTAGTTGGTAGTCTTAGGTAGCTGTATTTCTAAACTACCAGGAGAAATAGTCTTTGAGGCATCATTTATGTAACACAAGCTTTTAAATACCAAATATTTATATAGAGCCTTGGTTCTTATGTTTTTAAAGTTTTTATCTTAATTAGTATAATTTTTACCCATTATCAACTCTGGGAGATAACTGTAGGTCTTATCAATCTTATTATACAAATAATTCTGGACAAGAGGAGTTATTTTCTCAAGTTGGTTGAATCAAAACTTGAATCTAAAACTCCTGACCCCAAGTCCAGTGCTCTTTCCAATTATTTCTCCACTTAACTACTTTCACATTTAAAATTCACTTTAGCCTTAAATTCTTTTAAAAAATAAACTTTGAGATAATTGTAGATTCACATCAAGTTATCAAAAATGATGCAGAGAAATCTTGTGTGTTCTCCCAGTGGTGACATCTTACAAAACTATAGTGTAATATCACAACAAGCATATTGATATTGATACAGCCAGGATATAGAATTTTCTCATCACCGTGAGGATCATTCATGTTATACTTTTATAGTCAAACCAACTTTCCTTCCACACTTACCTGGTCCTTAACTTCTAGCAACTACTAATCTGTTTTTCATTCCTTTAATTTTGCCATTTTAAGAATGCTATATAAAAGGAGCCTTACCATATGAAACCTTTGGGGACTGGCTTTTCTTTTCACTTAGTGTAAGTCCATGATATTCATTCAGATTGTTGCATGTATCAATAACTCCTTCCATTGTCTTGCTGAGTAGTATTTCATGGCATGGAATGGTTTGTTAAACTATGTATTACCTGAAGGGCATCTGGGTGCCTTGTGGTTTTGGGTTATTATGAATAAATCTGCTATAAGTATTCATGTACGGGTTTTTGGGTGAACAAAAATTTAATTTTTCTGAGATAAATGCTCAGGAGGGCAATTGCTGGGCCATTTGGCAGGAGCCTGTTTGTTCTTTTTTAAAGAAACTGTGAAACTTTTTCCAGAATGACCACACAACTTTATATTCCCAGCAGGAATATATGAGTGATATGGTATCTCTGCATTCTTTGCAATATTAGGTTTTGTTAATTCTTTTTTTAATTTATCTATTCTGATAGATGTATAATGATATCTCAATGTGGTTTTAATTTGCTTTTTCCAAGTGGCTAATAACGTTGAATATCTTTTTATGTGTTTAATTTCCATCAATATAACATTTTCAGTGAGATGTCTCTTTCTTTTGCCTATTTTCTAATTGAATTGTTTGTTTACTTTTGCATTTAAGAGCTTTTTATGTATCTTAGATACCAGTCCTTTGGCATCAATGTGATTTGCAAATATTTTCTTCTAGTGTGTATCTTGTCTTTTTATCTCTTTAGTAGGTTGTTTCACAGAGCCAAATTTTCTAACTTTGGTGCAATTCACTTTTTCAATTTTTCTTTTTACTGATCATGTTTTTGGTGTCTAATGTAAGAATTCTTTGCCTAGTCTTATATACCAAAGAGTTTTTCTTGTGTTTTTTTCCCTAAAAGTTTTAGAGGTTTAGTACATTTTCATACTGCTATGAAAAAATACTCAATACAGGGTAATTTATAAAGAAAAAGAGGTTTAATAGACTCAACAGTTCCACATGGCTGGGGAGCCCTCACAATCATGGCGGAAGGTGAAGGAGGAGCAAAGTCATGTCTTACATGGTGGCAGGCAAGAGACCAAGTGTGGGGGAGCTGCCCTTTATAAAACCATCCAATCTCATGAGACTTATTCACTATCATAAGAACAGCAGGGAGAAACCTGCTCCCATAATTCAATTACCTCCCACCAGGTCCCTCCCACAATACCTGGGAATTATGGGAGCTACAATTCCAGGTGAGATTTCAGTGGTTGGTGGCACAGCCATATCACAAGTGGATAATAAAGTTTTTAGTTAGTTTTTGTATAAGATGTGAAACTTAGAGTTTATTTTATAGTTTATGGATGTTTCATTGTCCCATCACCTTTTGTTGAAAACATCTGTAGTGATATTCCCTGTTTCTTCTTGATATTGACCTTTCTCCTCTTTTATCTGCTTTAATTGAGGTTTGTAAATATTATTGATGTTTTTAAGAAATCAGCTCCTCATTGATTTTCAGTTTTCAATTTCATTGATTTTTGCTCTTATTTTTGTCATTCCCTTCCTTGTCTTTGAAATGGGAGGTTAGATTTTTAATTTGAGACTTTTCTCCTTTTGCGATGTATCCACTTAGTGATATACATTGTACTCTCAGCACTATTTTAGCTATGTCCTCCACATTTGTTAGTTGACACTTAATAATTATATAAATTTATGTAGCACAGTATATTTTGACACCTATATACAATGTGTAATGATCAAATCAAGGTAATTAGCATGCCCATTTTTTCAAACATTTATCATTTCTTTATGTTAGAAATGTTTAAAATTCTTACTTCTAGTTATTTCAAAATATAAAATATTGCTAACTATAGTAACCTTAGAGTTAGTTTAGGACTTATTTATCTTACCTAGCTGTAATTTTATATCTGTTAGCCAATCTCTCCCTATCTCCTCCTTCTCCCTTCCCTGACCAGCCTTTAGTAATGTTCTACTCTTTACTTCCATTGCTCAACTTTTTTAGCTTCCACATATAAGTAAAAACATGCAGTATTTCACTTAACATAATGTTCTCCAGGCTCATCCATGTTGCCACTAGTGGCAGGATTTTACTTTTTATATGGCTGAATAGTATCCCATTGTGTATATATATCATATTTTCTTTATCCATTCATCTTTTTTTGTTGTTACCAAACATTCATTTGTATCCATCTGTGAATGCATACTTAGGTTGATCTATATCTTGGCCATTGTGAATAAATGAACATTGGAGTTTATTGTGGATAAATAATAAACATGAAAATGCACATATCTCTTTGAAATACTGACAGTCTTTCCTCTCTCTCTCTCTCTCTCTCTCTCTCTTTCTCTCTCTCCACACACACACATATATATATATATATATCT